ACTTTCTGAGGTAATGCAATCACTGCTGAAGCAACTCCAGCCGGAGATCGGGACAGCAGCGGCGGTGGGAGACAGAGCCTTGTGGTGATTTGTACAGTCTTTTGCGATGCCAGTCTGTACAGAGGCATCAAAGTAGCACAGCGTTTTGAGGCATCTGCAAGAGCTGCTGGGCGACTTCACCATCAGCGGAAACATCAATTTTATCTTCGTGGGGGATCAAAATTCGCCACTTCCTCAGAACAGTTTGTTGAAGGAGGTAACAACATCAACTATACCTTCATGAGGGATCAAACTTCGCCACTCTCTATGACCTATAGGTTGATTGGGAAAATAACATCAACTTTATCTTGATGAAGGATCAAAATATCGCCGCCCCTATGATCAAATCCTGAATGGGATAGAAACATCAACTTGATCGTCATGAGGGATCAAAATTTGCAACCTTCTATGACCAATTTTGACGGGGGTGACAACATCAACTTTATCTTCATGAGGGATCAAACTTCGCCACCCCCTCAGAACAATATATGTTGCTTGGGGAAATAACATCAACTTTATCTTCATGAGGGATCAAGATTCGCCACCCCCCCTATGTCCAATATGCTGACGGGGGTAATAACATCAACTTTATCTTCATGAGGGATCAAAAACTTCGCCGTCGCCTCAGAACAGTATATGTTGCTTTTGCAAATAACATCAACTTTATCGCCATGCAGGCTCAAAATTTGCCACCCCCCTATGAGCAATATGTTGTAATTATGCGGATAAAACATCAACTTTATCTTCATGAGGGATTGAAATTCGCCAGCCTGTTTAACCAAGTTTGACGGGGGTAATAATATCAACTTTATCTTCATGACGGATCAAAAATTCGCCACTAACGAGATATAAACCCTAGTTTAGTTATCTGAAACCCATAGTTATGGCCGTGTATCAGATATAAATACCCAATTTTTATAGAATGCATGATCCCATTTATAACCAGTTATAACTGGTTATAAATGGCCATAGCTGCATGCAATCAAAGCTATATAGTTATATGCATTCCAAAACTGTCCAAGTCCCTGTGGAACTGCCCGGGATTGAAGCTGCCACGGACACCACCACACAGAAGGACACATGAAGGGAGACAAATAAAGCGAGAGGCCCAGAGAGGCGGACACGGCCAGTAACACAAGGGCGGACACCTCTTAAGAAAGAACTGAGAACCCCTACAGTAAACTGCTTGGGGAAAGCTCAATTTTTCGCACGAGGGACAACAACAAAAACCACGATTTTTTGCACGAAGGAGAGCACAAAAAAACACGATCTAGAGCACGATGTTTGGACAAAAGAGAGCAATGCACGAAGGAGAGCACCAAAAAGCACGATTTTTGGCACGAAGGAGAGCACCAAAAAGCACGATATAGAGCCGGTTTTTGGCACGAGGGAGAGCACCAAAAAGCACGATTTTGCGCACGAGGGAGAGCACCAAAAAGCACGATTTTGTGCACGAGGGAGAGCACCAAAAAGCACGATTTTGTGCACGAGGGAGAGCACCAAAAAGCACGATCTAGAGCACGGTTTTTTGCACGAGGGAAAGCACCGAAAAGCACGATTTTGTGCACGAAGGAAAACACTCAAAACAACGTTCGCCCAAAATCCGCCCGCACCGAAGGTGCTGGGGCGTGATCTTCCGGATGGCACTCGTAAAAGGTTACAGGTTTACCTGGGTGGGGGGGGTTCCCATTTTTCGGCCAAAACCTCCTGTTTTTGATAGGTCGTGACGCTCGCCTTCAAAAAACACTGTAAAAAACAGTACGGAAGACACCTGTTCGTGAACGCGCCCGTCCAAAATCGGCAAGCGAAAAGTGAAAAAAAACGTGTTTTTCAACTTTTTGACCTCAATTTTTTGGTTTGCAACATCTTTTTTTGCGGTTCCGCAGGTGGCCGGGCCCGGAGGCGGATTTTTGAGTTTTTGGACCCGTTTTCGGACTGATTTTCGTCGTTTTGTGATAGCAGAAACACTGGTTTTTACAGTGTTTTTCTGTTTTCTGCATGCTTGACGGCTAGCTTCAAAACTTCCAAAAACCTCGTAAATTACGCTGTTTTATGTTACGGTGTGAATGAAAACATCGTAAATACCAGTGTTTTTTGACGTTGGTTAAAAAAACACTGTAAATTACAGTGTTTTTGGCCACCTGACCCTCAAAAACCATGGTATTTGCAGTGGTTTCTGCTTCTCACCGCGCAAAAACACTGTAAATAACAGCAATTTCGCCGTTTTTTCATGTTTTTCGTTATTTTTTGAACTGCGTTGGTCCGCTATACATGGCTATCAAATTCTTCGCGTTCTTTTTCCGACAATCAGTACTTTCGGATGTTTTTGGTCTCAATGGCCGACATCATTGGCAGTTACGAGCGGCTGCCCAACGATGCGGTGCGGGCGGTTGCCGTCGCGAAGCGACGTGAATATAAAGAAATCATTTTTTTGACTGTTACAGCTATTAGGACGGACTCAACATAATATATATATATACAGATACAGGTGCAAATACATTTACAGATACACATATCATCTCTATTATATATATACACATATTTATACATATACATATACATACACAAAGACAGACCATAGCCATTCAGCATTGGGGTGGGCCCATTACAATTATCCACAAAGAGACTTTTCTTCACTAGTCACTTTACCCATACTTGAAATAACACCAACCAGAGCACTGAAACGCAATCCAGCCGCCTGGGCATTGCCGTTTTTCGTCGGATTTGGCGCGTGCACGCGCCACGCACACGGCGCAGCTGTACAAGAGCCCGCGCTGGGCCAATCGACGCCGTCGGGAAATTTCCACACCGTTCTGATGGACAGAAGCTTCCCCTGCCTCTAAGCCCAAATGCTCCATTGCCAACTGATTATTGGAATATATAGCAATGGCTGTAGAAAATGACGATCATAGAATCATATCTGGACTCCGACATACTCCGACAAATATGGAGTTCTTGGGCATTTTTGGATGCAATTTTTGAATTCTTACCTCCGCTTGTGTTCGCAGGATCTGCTACCGTTTGAATAGGGGCCGGCGTTGCCCAACAAGCCTTGGAAATTGAATGAGCAAGCCATACATAGCTTGGCTATCCAGAAGTATGGTGAAATATGTCTAGTAATGTCTAGTATTTCGATGTATTTTGGTCACATTCGCCCATTTTGGATCAACTCAGATCCGGCAAAACAGTCCCCTGCTGTTGGCAGGAATACGGATGCAAAACAATTTGTACAGTGGCATACAGTGGCATATCTGCATCATGACTTGGCGTTAGTACAGGCCTACCGATCCAAAACAACATCAAAACGCGTGTTTCATGAGGTTGTATCATGTTGTAAAGTGGAACTTCCAAAATCTGTGCCAGTATCTCTCTATCAACCCGGCCACATGGGGTATCTCGGTATCTCCCATTTGACACCGATATACTGTGGAATATGGGATGTGATCCAGCGATGGGGAACCTCACAGTCAAAAACCCTACCAATACCTGCCAGCTGTGGCATTAAATTATTAAAGTTCATTAAAGGATATTAAAGGAATGTCATGGATTCAGGATCCACAACCATGCCGACCATGCCCCTAAAAATTCCTAAAAAGCTGTAAACAGCCCTTCCAAGTCATGCTGCAGCAAACTCTTTGATGGTACATTGCGACACTGCCAAGGGGCACGCAAATAAATGTATCAAGACTGGGTCACATCTGACCAGTGGAGTGCATTGAAATGAACAAAAACTGCTTTCGTTTTTCAACGGAGCGACATATCCAACAATTGCAGTGGATGCAGGGAAAATCATGGGCAAGTGGTCCAACATGCTTGAAATCACCGTCTAGAAGGGGAACCAAGGTGCAAAATCATTGACCCAAAAAACCACTCATGTTGGTCAGAACTTCGGTAACAAATGGGTCAATACATTTTGGCATCCCTTTTGGTATCCCAAAAATGTTAATACAAAAACTGACCAAATTGTTCCAATCTTCCTTTATCATCATTAGCATGTTGAATCCCAATTTTTGTGGGTCATTTTACCTATTGATTTGTCGCGAAAATTGCACAACCCGCTGGCAGGGGACCCTGTGGCGCCGCCGCATCATCCAATGTGTGGTCTCCAAAAATGGCAATGCTGGGAAATTTGATAAACCATGGCAGCTGGGGGTACCGTATTTCCGGGAAAACCCATAGCCATGATTCGCGCTGAGAGACCCAACAAACACATCTCATATGAGATACTGTCATATGTGAACATTAGAAAATCCATTGATGTATCCTACAGGATCAATAGGATCAACAATAAAACATCCATCGGAACTTAGGACATGACCTTAACAATCGACAGATCAAGGAATGCAGCCCTGGAGCCTTTGAAATAATCGAAACGATGCTGATATCGGATGATGCGGTTGTACCAGTCAAACGCTGAGTGACGTGTGTGGAGGTCAGTTCCCCCATCAATGCTTTACAGTTCTTCAAAATTGAGCCATAAACTGATGTAAACTGTGAAGGCTCATCCCCCGTCAAAACGCTTCCTTGATTGGTGACATGTGCCATTTCCATGCCCTTTGCTACAGTACCTATTGAATCCGATTGATACTGAATCCTATACTTGTCAAGTTTCAACCTGGATAGACTCGTTGTCACAAAATCAGCTCGGTGTCACATGAACCATCCTCTGAACCACCTAAACGTGACCTAAACGTGGAAAATATCAGGTATTTCCATGTGGGCATTGTCTTTTTCCCATCTTTATGTTGGTATTCTGTACCGCAAACGGCTTTGCCACATATCCATACGTATCCATAAAATGTCAAACATGAATTCCAACTGAGTTCATCACCATTTCCTGGGGCAACCAGGATGGTTTACCGCCTTTTGACCGGTGGAATGACTTGGACTCCAATGTCGGAACATACGTAACATGTTACGTGTTAGAACATACCCAATGTTATCCCAATGTTCAGATTCTCCTTGACTTTAACGAAATGTGAATCTTTCAGGGGGTCGTTCCTTGGCTCTGGTGATTTTCAAGCCTCTCATTGGGCTGGGCCCATCCGCTGCCTCCCAGAGTTCTGTTTGAACATGTCTTGACACTATGCTGACGCTGACAGTATGCCCAGGCTTTCAGTTTACATCACCACTCCTGGTGAGCTTACCATCCACGCGATCATATCTATCGTTTCTTGCTCACATTGAACCAGGTTTATGAATCTTTATTGGCTCCCTTTGGATTGGTGGATTCGACCGAATTCCATCCCCAATCTTCATGCTGCCAGGCCTCAGGCCCCTAGGCCCCCAGGCCCCTCCTACCTTGGAACTGACCTCAAAGTCGGTCGGTTCTGCTGCCCGATCAACTTTCACTCCTGGCTTCACTTGTGACACATGATCAGAATGCCATAGAATGCAGATGTATATTATATATAACTAACAAAAAAAACAAAAAAAATAATTTATTAATAACTCTGATAACTCTGGCAGTAACTCTGGATATAGAAAAAACATGAAAAAACACAATCATTGGGAATGTGTTGGGAAAATTAACCTGGGAACCATGTACAGTCTGTTCCAAGTGTGTTTGCAAATCCAGCATCACAGCACTCCCGAGATCTCCCAAGTATCCAGATTATCTAGGGCTAGGCGGCTAGACCCAGTTTCATTTCTGGCTATGGGGATTCTGGGATTCTGGGGAGCAGGGCGCGTGACAAACATGGCAAATAAAGATAGGTCAATCTCTTTCTCGGGAACCTGAAAAAACTATTTCACGGTGAGTGAAAAAACCATCGGCCAATTTGCCCTGCACCAAGGTGAACTCATCAGTAATTCAATGTAATTCAATGTAATTCAATGTAATTCATAGCTAATCAAATCCAAGCCCAGCTACGATCATTTGCGATACGTAGAATGCTCACCTGCAAAGATGGCTCCCATTCTCTCCAAGGCATCTGATCAATGGCAGCAACCAGCTGTCTGGTTTACCACATCATGAGGAAAAAACTGCAAACGTTTAAACACGGTCGCGTTGAAGAATGGGTGTTTTTTCACACTTGGATGTAGATACCCCTAAGTTATCAAACATGGCCTACAAATGATTATAAATGGAGGTCATGAGAAAATCAGTGATGATCTTCCAAGATCCAACGGAGCTGCTTCAACCAGGGCTGCTACTCTTTGTTTCCGTCTCAAGAGTTGCACATTCAAAAGCACTCGGAATTTCCCAAACCTGGAAACATCTAGCCTGTTCTAGCAGAATCTAGCTTTTGCTGGTTTCCAACCTGTATCCAGGGTTTTGGCACAGAAAGAGACTTGCTTTATTTGGCATTTTGGGGGCTATTTAGTTGCCTTTAATTTATCTACGTAATTTTATCTACATTTTCCTGGTGTCTGTTGTGGGCTTGCATTTTCTGAAGCAGCCTTGCTTGAAACAATACCAGATGCGCTACAATTTGACAATGATATGAATAAACTATATCATCATGTAGTTATAGACCCCAACAAAAAGCTAAACCTTCGCAACATGACGAACACGAAGAATCTCTCAACCATCAAAAGTAGCAATTCAAAAAGTATTTCCATCCATTTCTCGACAACCCATCAGATTTTTCTCTCCCCTCAGTTCCCAGAACCCTGCCATCTCCTTGGCGCCTCTCTCGTTGCTTCAGCTTCCGTCTCACACCGCGCCGGGGTGCGGCAGTTGGGACCTCGTGCCATGAACGACTGTTCGTTCCAGCCACGGCAAGATGCGGCAATGTTTTCATGGATTTTGTTCCAATTCATGATTCCAAACATATTCAGAAACAAAATGATGAGATACTGAGGAAAAAAAAGTTACAAGAAGAGGAAGCAATGATATGAGATATCCTATGAACATCTATGAACCAAGAAAACAGATGAGGGGAGGAAAAGACTATAGTCTATGACTGAGGGTGAAAACCACTGACACTTACAAGTGAGAGAGTTAACCGATTTAACATGAGGTCATACTACCAGCTTGTCAACCACACCATCCAGCGGCAATCTTGGCATCAAGGGAGCGTCTTGCAGAAGGTCTTTCTCTGCTGTTGCCTGGACTACGTGCCTGAGGCAAAATCTCTTGCCTCAAAAATGCGGGACCATTTTGAATAAATTTGATGTCATTTTCGCAAAGAATGGGCCAGATTCAATTTCTGCGTTGACACCAGATTGCAGGGTCGTTTGGATGCTCTTTGCCGTCTACTGAAAAGCACTGCGGCTCCTCCTTGGCTTTGCGTGGCAAAGTGTGGACTTCCCATTCCTATCTAGATAGCTGGGTTTGGGAACCACTGAGCAATCATATTGGTTGTAAACCTCTCATTTCCCCATTCTATAAATGATTCATTTGTTGATTCTGTATACCCATACCCTTGATGTCGATAGATCCCCAGTGGATTTATGTCCTGACGCGACATCCCGCTGGGTTTGCTGACAAAGGGTGGACTTGCTGAGCCATAGCACTGCACAGTCCTGCCGTTAAAAAACGTGGCCTCCCAAGGGGCCTGGGAAAATCCTCCTGGATGCCATGTGCCTAAAGGCCATCATCTACTCATTTTTGTAGGTAGTGGATAGTAAGGGCACGTTGTAAACTACTAAACTACCACCAAAAAGTACTTTTGGATTGCACTTATGGGCTGTATCCATTGCCACTTCAGTCCAGGAAGTCAAACAGAAAGGATTGCAGGTGGAGAACAGTCCAAGATATGCTGAGATGTCCATCTATTTACGCCAGGTTACAACCCACCAAACTAATCGTGGCTGTCGCAAGAGATACGAGTCGTAGGAATTGTAGATTGAGCCTGTGGTACTATGATTGTCGCCAAATACGTGAGGTGAAATGACCTCAAAATGACCTCAAAATGACCTCAAAATGACCTCAAAATGACCTCAATCCACATCTTGATCATCTTGGTCAAATCTAAAAACATTGGCAGTCGGCATTGTTCACCTAATGCACAAGCTCTCCGTATGAAAGGCGTGCTGACACGGCAGAATTCGCGGCGGATTCTCGGCACCTCAGAACTTTCGAAGAATTTCCAAAATCTGTGGGGCTTTAACTGCTTTAACTATAGGATTGCCAAAAAATGACGATTTAACCATCAAAAATTCGGGATTTGACCCTTCAAAACGAGGATTTTGTAACTCATCAGCAGAAACAGGGATGTAGCAGCCAAAAAATAAATTACTGCTCCAATTCATTGATTGGTTCTACTGGTTGGTTGCTAGAGATTGCTGCAACAGCTTATCACATGGCGAATGCTTAATTACACACATAGTCGTGCCGAATGTTGTTTTTGAAGTATCAACATGGTAGAAACGGTTCCGAACATTCCTAACTACCTAAATGAGTGTAGCAACAGTACAATAGCCCCCATACGCATCCATATGCTGCAAACGTCGTGACTCTATGCATGACTTTCCCTGAAGCTGAAGCACCATTGAGAACCCGGCAGAAGCCCTCCAAACAAATCGAACAGCTGACATCAGCCTAGCATGGCAAGGTAAAAAGACCCTCATGACGAACCTTTGGATCCCAGAGGACACCAACAACCAGGGAAAATGAGGGACTCGAATTTGAGAGAAGCTTCACGAATAAATAAGACCCGCAAAATTCTGGGGCCTGGGTTCATGATCTGAAGACCTTGACCACAATGTCACAACGGCATTCAAGTGGGACATGGCATGACATGGCTCTCATGTGCTCATGGCGCTCAGATTGCAAGAAATTGCAACGAGATAAAAAGATGCCATTGAAATATTGAAGCATGGTTACTGGGTGGGACAGCAGCATGGCATTCCATCTTTCCAAATGCAACAAATGCCACTGTGCCACTTGTCTCGTGTGTTGCACGTAGCATCTGAAGAATCTGTTGATCAAGGGAATCAGGGCGGGTTGAGGATGTTTATGATGTTTCCTATTGTTCCCTGTGCAAATCGGTGCACAAACCAAAATCACGTCTTTTCTGATGGATCTAGTCCATCATAGTCCATCCAATACAGTACGCCTTTTCATCATTTGCAGGCCACGTTTATCAACCTGGATCAACCTGGTGCATCTAAGTGGCAGCAGAAGCACAGGGCAACGACATCACCTTGGCAAGAAAACAGGTGCTGACATGGCTGACATTCAGGCTGGTAAATATAGACCATATATGCCATATATCAAATCACACATCTGTATAATTTGCAATGTGGTAAACTCAACAATAGCCATCACCAATTTACACATGTCTACCAATGGTAGGTATCATGACTCATCATGACCCATACCCTTAAAAAGTGCCTTATTATTCCACCGTTTGCAGACCTGATTACCGACACAGCACTGGCTATACACCCTGACACACCAAATCCACAGGGACACCAATCCAGTTGCGCAGCCTCTTCCCGTGTCAGGTGCGGAAGGTCTGGACAATCTGCGTCAGCTGTGCTAAATGTAATGAGAGTCATGGGGAACAGCACAGCCCCTGGGGAACAAAACCAATGCCATCAGCACGCTCTACAACAAATATCCATCCCTAATCTTGCTGACACGCTAGAAAATAGGTGAATTCACTGCTTTCAGAAACGCCCTGTATATCTCAATGGAAAGCATGCAGTAGTTATCATTTTCCTGCATTATCTACCTCCATCCTCTGGAATTCCATTCAGAATCCCAAAAAGTATGACCATGGGAAGCAGATCCTGTCCACGACAGTTGCCGTGGTTGTTCGTTTACCGATTTACCGTTACCTCCATCATTTGTTCAATGGATTATGTAATATATGATATGACCAAATCACCTTTGTTTGGTCAAACCGACTTTGACCTGAATTTAGGGATGCAACCAATGTCAAATCACTGCTGCTTTTCTCCTAATTTCTCTGCTGACTTACCGCTTCTTTGCTTCGTTGCTACTCGCCACACTTTTTTCAGGTTTTTCCCTGAAAATTCAACGCTTGCAACCAGATTTTCTTTCTGGGGGTAGAAGTTAAAACTATATTATTATATAAGTTATACACACGAACATCAATCTGGATCTAATCATTTCTTCCTATTACTAAAACTCCCCCCCAAAAAAACAAGGATTGGTGTGGCACCTCCGGTTTTTTTGGTTGGGCACAATTGGATTCTTAATTATGGTACTTGAGAATCAATAGGAGAACAGGATGGTGAAACCATGGGTTCAACCCCCTATTAATAAAAATAGATTGCCACCTGGAGGTTTTTTATTAGGGTCCCATCTCACAAGCTTTAATTTTTATTTTTATTATTAAGGTTTTCCCTTGGAATATTAGGGGAAAGCTTCGAAATCCAGTTTTTGGCAATATTTTACATGGATTTTACTACGGGATTTAAGCAAATTTGAAATCGAGTTTTTTTTTATTAGGGTTTTTCATTGGAATATTAGGGGCACCCTAATACAAAGTGCCCCCTAATAATAAAAATAAATCACCGTGTTTACCATTTGGGGGAGGAGTGTTTTAGTAATAGGGAGAGAGGGTTACCAAGGAACCTCCACATTTTTGGCTTCTGTAGCTCCCAACCACAGGCTGCGCCTGACGCGCCCGAACGGCGATGTCCAATGAGCTGCTCCATCTGGGAAGTTGGATCAGGCGTTTGTTGTTCTTGTTGATGGGCTCGAGAGCTTCTGGGTATCTTTTTGTTCACTGCATCATGATCACCATAATGATGATAATGATAATGACAATGATAATGATAATGATAATGATGATGATAATAGTAATGATCATGATAAACATCATAATCATCAAGACGCTAATCATGATAATACTGATGACAAACAGTATCAAATCATATCATGACGATAGTATATGGCCCAGTGTCTAGTGGTCCCCCCTCCCCCCGAGATGGTGATGGTCTCTATATGTATATGGATGTGTACAAGATTATACAAGTATGTGTGTGTATCTATATAAGTTTTGTACATATATATATATATATACACAGTATGTATCTGCATATCTCTATCCAGTGGATGTGGTGGGGGTGTGGGGACAATTGTTTCCGACTTTGAGTCAGCCCAACCTCTCCGGAAATGAAGCTTCAAAAACGCACTTTTTAGTTAGATTGAGTCTTTAGGAAGCTACTTTTGGGTAAGGGCCCCCCTTTGGCAATAATCTTACAAATATATATAAAATAAAAGCCTTTTTTTTGTTTAAATTATAACAATGAAATTAAAAAAATGAAAATAATAAAAAACATTTTGTAAAAGAATCTTTGTTTCTAGCTTTGACCCTCAGCCTTATTCAGTACACCATAAGTACGCAAAAGCCTATGGTGAGGAGCCGCGACGAAATAGACCCTAATATTCCCTCATGGGGGGGTACAGTAACCCTCCCCATACCATATGGGGTGGGGGAGGGCCGTGAACACGAGACATGGGATTATGTATACATATATGATTACATCTAGAATCTACATACATTAGATGCTGGGAAAATCCATGAGATGTCCTGCAAGAGATCAGACTGTTTACTGAGACACAGAACCCAATGGTTGCCGTTTTCATAATCTGTGATATTTCATGATATTACCCCATAGTTGACCGCGGAAGCGTCAGTTCGAGATGATCCGCCAACCACTGGGATGACAGCAAGATTTGAAGTAGTGATATTGTTTTTGGCGGAGTGAAGAAATCTATGTCTTGGTAGTAAAGACATGTTGGTTGATACGGGATGAAGCACTGAGCAACCATTTCCGCTGGGCTGAAATTCGCGACCTCATGTGATCCTAATCACCATTGTCTTTCTTTGATTGTTGATTGTTGGTTTTGCGACGAAGCAACTCGTTGTGGCCCTCTCAATCATTCAATAAGCAGCTTGCCTACCAACATCAACCATCCCAATTTCATCTGCTTCATGGAAAGCTGGTTACAAAATGTTACAAACATTTATTCAGCTTCAGCTTCAGCCCATGGGCTGATGGCTATCCAGCTGGGCACCCAGACGTTCAAACGCACCAAGTTTCCCTCGACCACTTGAATCAAACCTCACAGTCTCACAGGAGAGACTGGCAAGCTGCAGCAAGCTGCAGCAAGCTGGAAGAAACAGGCACTTCAATGTCGATAATAGTCATCGATGGTCAGTTTGCTTTCGGGATGGCATCGGAAGCGTGAAGCCAGTGGAGGATTCATTCTACATCACAAAACAAGGGACAGTTCTCTTCCAAGGATCGATTGTGATGTACATAACAACGAAACTACACACAGCATTGTATCTTTAACTTGTTTTATCAGGGGTATGTATAGAATATATATATATATACATATACAATTATATACAATACACATAAATTGTAAACTACTACTATTAAATACTTTCTCATGAACCGGTTGAAGTTGCTCCTTGCTGAACACGAGCAGCTGGGGTAGGGACCAGCATCGAGTTGCCAGGCACCCTTATCCAACGGATGGGAGATGGAGGGCGTCCCAAAAAATGGTGTAGTGGCTTTCTGAAAGAACGCACCATACATCTTGGATTTTCATATGAACAATCCAGACGTGGTTGAATTTCCAAAGAATCACCAATCCATGATGAAATCACATGAAATCATATGAAATCACATTATTCCGTATTACTATAGTGTCATATGTAGCCATCAAGGTGATCAGATGATACAACCCGATCTGAGATGTTACGATGGGAACCAATGGGAACTATCTGCAGATGAATTCCTCCCACATTGATACCATTTGATACCCAATCATCGATTTGTCAAGATATGTCAAGATATTCCTATGAGTCTCCACTCAGAACATCTACATCGGGTTTTTACCTCAAAATACAGTACCATACAGTACCATACAGTACCATAGAGTACCATAGAGTACCTCCAAAAATTCCAACGCGGAAAATCTGCAAATCATCGAACGATGTCCTTCGGTTTTTCCCCAACGAACACATTGCCATTTCGAACAGCGCTACCGTGGCCTCACGCCCATCACGCCCATCACGCCCATGCCTCGGATCACGGAAGATTTCGTGGATTTTCGGAAGCAACTTATGGATTGTTTACCGGAACGAGCCTCAAAATTCCATGAATTTCAGATGCTCCTTTCCAGCGAAAAATAGTGGGAAGAATCAATGTGATATCTCCACTGGTAATATGTTCACATTCCAGGCCAACAGAATCACTGGTGTCATCACTTCCAACTCCAGGTCTCACTGGTGATCTCGTGATCTCCTCTGTGTGCCGGACGGCGACAAGGCAGGTGACAAGGAAGGTGATAGCGTCCAGCCTGGCGTGATCTGGCCCAGTAAATCAGTATATCACAAAGTCTGTATCATTCCATTTGGATAGACTTAGAGACTTCCTTTCTAGAATCTAACCTGGACATGTCAACAATAATTTCAAACATAAGTTTCATCTTGAAATTTGCCTGAAAACAAGTACCATGTCTACAGACTCCAGGTATATTGCATCTTGATCCCAACATGTCCTATCACCAGCTTTGCAGTGATATGCTACAGGCCAATATTGTTGGTCCGCTACCATCCTTTACCAATGCTGGTGGTTCCGTGCATTCTATGCGTATTGGTGTTGGTTATACTCAAAACATGTCAAAAGAAGGTGAAATCTGAGAAACAGCTAAGCCACCAGGGCGGGCACAATATCCAACACTTTTCAGGGAGCATTTGGGCCAGTTGCAACCTTTGGCTGATTGCCCCAGAATCATGTGGTACCCTTGGCTTCGACCATGAAAGCTACACTGGGTAGCGTTGAGATTCCTGTGACAACCAGGGATGCAATGGCATCAATGCTTTTTGGAAGCCCAAGATATGTTTAAAAAAGCAGCACTCCTTGCATTTCTTAGAACTGGGGTGATTGACGGCACCAATTAGGCAAAAATCCCACCATCTCTACCATCTCTACCATAGTCCATAGTGCTTAGGTGAGGTGGGTTACGGGTCCGAATGTTCATGAATCAAGAATTGATCAGCCTGGATGTTTGTCTAGCTAGTATCCGATAGCCGATAGTCCACAATAGTAATTAAGTAAATTATATACTATGTCTGGTTGGTCGCTTCATTGGTTCCTTAGAATATACACTCCTATCTAGGTGGTGGTTTCAACCCGCACGAAGATTCATCATTGGCAATCATCATCCTATATATGGTTGAACAATGTTGAACACTTAAAAAGAATACATGACTGAAACCGCCAACCAGCTATGGCAGCTATGGCAGCTATGGCAGCTATGGCAGCTATGGCAGCTATGACGGATGGATCCCTGCCACAAACATGCTGGGCGGTACTATCCACACTGGCATCATCATGATCTCAGTCGGGCCATGTTCAGATCCATCTTGGGATGGGGCACACCAGAGGGAGGAAATACACAATCCAGATATTTCATGAGATGTCATTATATACACTAGTATTTCAATGTATTTCACCAATCAAAGTGGGGATCAAATGATCAATTAGGGATGCTGAAACAAAAATTTACGAGCGCTGTGAAACGAGATCCACTGGACGATTCGATCTGAGATGTCTGAGACGTCCATCTCAAACTATCCAGTTTCCGGAGGGTCTCTACTTTGTGCATCCCAGTTAGAATAATTCTCTATTGATAGAAATAGTGGTCATTCATTGCATACCAACTGGGATACACATCCAAGTAGTTCCACCAGAAAACCACGACACAACTGTCATTTTTCTACCCACGAAGGACGGATGGGAGTTCTCTCATGTAAAGCGCACGCAGCGGGGAAACCACATACAGATTGGATCCAGTTCACTTCGATCGGATCAGTCTCTAGCTGCTTGGTTCAGCCAATCTACAGAATACTTGTCAAATTGGGATCGTCTTCCAAAGTATGGATGAATAAATAAAAAGACTAAAACACCAACCAGTTCTCAAAGAGATGATAGGGGCATAGGAACATCTCTTCATGCTAAACATGAAATGACAAGCAACCAAATTGTGAGATCAGGCACTTTGCTTCGTATCCCAAGTTTGTTGGATCTCTCACGATTTTCATGCTTGTTTTGAGGGTCCGGCAACCTACAGATTTTGTCCATACCATTCATGTACGTTAGATTTATTAGGAGTACTGTTCTTGTACAAATGCATGTCTTTTAACAGATAATGATCACTGATAACCATTGTACTATATGCATGTCTTTGTGGGGTATTCTTGGACATTCTTGGACCAAAAGAATGCGACAGCCCCCCGCGACGACAATGCAAATCGAGGGGCAAATTGGCCTGAGGGAAGACAGAGAATGAGGAAGGTGACAAACACATGGACATTTCATGTAAGAATGGAATGTGCCAAACCCTTGAGATTTGACCGATGCAAAGGACAATCGATAAGGTAACAAGTGTTGTAATTTATAATATAAGCTTAAGTACACAAAACTGCAAGCATGTACCCGTAGCCAATAGCATGGTTCGCAAACACCAATAACTACAAGACTTGCATAAATTGTAGGATATATATATATATATAATGCATGGTTTCGGAAAGCACAGAATATCAAAACATGGACGTATCACCAACGGAAACGGGTATATATATATATATAATTATATATATATAATCCTATAGTACCCTACATTACCCTATATCCTCGTTGTTTCCGCGGTAATTTGTTTGGACTTGGACAAATAATTTAATGGTCCGGCTCGCAATGAACCCATCTGGCTGGGGTGAAAGCAAATGTCCTCAAGGATCGTGAATGTCAGGTTGACATCGCATTGTGGGGTTCCCAACAAGTGCAGACCCCCGCAAGGAGGATTTCAAAATCCCTTACCCTCGAATCGCCCTCGAACAAAAGATATTGTGATGATGGAACATGTTCTATGCAAACATTTGAATCCACCAGAGGCAAAGACCACGATTCCGGTCACTCCGCAATGGTTCGGTTCATTCTGGGTCCCCAACGACAATGCTCGAGGGCTGCTGTACGGGGAGACCTCAGAATAGGATGCGATGAAGATGACTGGGGTCTGATGGCTGGTTTCAGCGCATCCCAAACATATTGGATGACTATTGGGATACATTTTTGGGTCAATTGGAATCATCCAGGGTGAGCAGGGATATTGAGGTTTCACATCAGCTATTCAATCGTGCTGTTTTGAAGCCTTGGCAGCATTCTTGCAGAGTTTACAGGTGTCCTTTCGGCGACTGTGAATGCAAATGCCCTTCCCGCCACAATCCCTACAGCGTTGCCTTTGCCGCTGGTGGTGACAAAAATCCAGAGACAGAAAGTTATCAACACACATTGGAATGCCCTGGGCTCGCCACCCAAAACGTTTGCCCAACCTCTTGCGACAAGCTGAATGACCGTGCGCAGGAACCAATACATGGACCTTCCCATTAATTGGATGGCGCCAGTACCAGCTGCTGGTCATTGTTGCACTACATTGGGAACACCTCAACTGAGCAACCTCCTCAGAATGGAAAACACTTTCCAATGTTTTCATTTTTTTGCTGGGATGATAATCGCCTTCGACTGACACTGCCATCTCTTCTCTCTTCACCAGCTGTCGTTTCAGTCTCTCGGCCGTTCCTGTTGGCTCATCAAACTTGGCACCGTCGACGGTTTGGACGACATCCAACAAAGATTGCAGCTGTTGCCACTGCCTCGTTGCACCTGAATCGGCCCTCGCATTTACCGGGGCAAAGTGTGCCTTCTCCAGCAATTGACAGATGTAGGTCACCGCTGCTTCCACCATTTGGTAAGTAAGACCATCTGCCAAATCCAAGTGTTGCAACGTTCGGATCACAATTCTCCTGATGCGGAACTGTAAGGCACCAGAAGAAACCTTTCGCTGATCATCCGTCGGTTTGGTAAGGGCTGGATTTGCCATCGGTGAGTGCAGCCATGCAGCACACCGAGAAAGCAGTTGGCAAAGTTTGTTTCCATCCAGTGGATCTTCCTGCAGCAAATCATTGAGCAAATCTTCGGCAGCCTCAATCATCTGAAGTCGTTCTTCTGCATCTGCGTTGTAGAATTTCTTGATGTTTCGTTGAAGTTTCCGAGATGGATGTGCAAACACGCTTTGATCTGCACTTGTGAAGGGCTTCGGGGACTTTGCTCCGTTCTCTGCATCTGTTGGATGAATTTGGTCATCAGCAAATGCCAGCACAGATTGCTTCAAAGGGGGCGGTTGTGAAACAAATGCTGAGGACCTCGGTAATGATAAACCAGTGATATCCACAGCTTCAATCTGTCCCGCCTGACTCAAAGAAAACGACACGGTTTGACCTACCAGCAAATATGGAGACCCATAGGAAGCCTTGGAAAAGGGCACTTGCCGAGAATCTCCAGACAAAGTTTGGTACAGCAAAGAGCCACCACCATCGTAGCGAAGCTGGCACACCATTCCCATAGGCATTGGAACTGGCAGAGTTTCTGCACGATGTGGTGATGTGTCAAACTGCCCAGAAAAAAGTTTGGGAGAATCTTTGCATTTTGACCGTCTTTGACCCGACGCTGACTTGAGTAC